AAGCATCCTGGAACAGAACAGATAGTATATGAGGGTTATGTAATAGTAGGGATTACCTATCAAGACCAGATTAATGCCCAGATTGCTTACAAATATGCTGGTAAACTTTTACTGAATGGACAAAATAGAACCTTTGAATAACAAACAATGGTCTGTTTGTTTAAGGAAAAGCAAATATTTCAGTTGGGTTGGGATGAACACAGTTCTGCTGGCAGATAGGTCTTGAACCACTGGAAGCCACTGAAGATCAGACAGGGAAAATGCTTTTGAGTTTTGAGGAGAGGAGCTTTAAGTGCAATTATAAGATATACAACAAAACATTTTTTTAACTTCATAAAGGAATTCATGACCCGCCAGGATTTTGACCATGAGAACTGTGACCCCTTCTCCTCATGGCTTTTCAGCTACTTACCTCTCACTAGGGTTCTGCATGGTCCTTCTCAGCTATATGGCCCAGAGTACCTTTTCACTATCACAGAGTCAAGCTGTTAAACTTAAAATTCCAGCAGCAGCTCCCATTCAAAAGTTCCTGAAACAAAAAGCCTTCCAGCCTGTATACTGCACACAATTCAGTCCCGCAGAAGCTGGTAGACCTGCAGCACAGAAAAATGTGCCATGTCAAAAACAGTTGCTGGCTTATCCCTTTTCTTCACAGCTTTTCAGCTACTTACCTCACACTGCTTCCTTCTCACCTATGAGGACCTGCACACTTTTTGACTCTCTTGGTGCTGAGCTTCAAAAGTTAGAACATCCTGCAGATGCTCGCATATAAAAGGTCCTCAACAAAACCCCAGTGCTGACACTTACCTTCTCCTTGATATCTATAAAGAGCAGCAAACCACCAGTACTGTTCACTTACCTTCTCAGCTATATGCACGTATAGCTTTGCATTCTCTCGATCTCGCAAGGCCCAACCCAAAATGTCTTCAGCAAAGCTCCACAGATAAAAGCACCACCACAGAAAACCTGCTCTGACCTTCCTAATTACACTTCCAAAGTTGTATTTGCACTACAATCAAGTGGCAGGAACTGCCTCCTTGTGACCTGTAAACTGCATACACTGGTGCTCTGAACATTCCTTCTCACTATATGTACCATGTTGCACTCTAATCTAATAAACTTCTCACACAGAAAAATATGCCAGAACAAAAACAGTTGGTGGATTACTTCTTTTTCTCACAGCTTTTCAGCTGCTTACCTCACCCGGGGTGTATGCCCATTCCTTCTCAGCTCTATCTACCAGCACATCTCAGCACAATGCTGAGCAGCAGTTCCCAAAGCGAACCTCTGTTTACCCCCTGGGAAACGCCTTGTCAGCCTTCTGTGTCTCCAAGATGCTTTGATTTTGGAGAGGTGCAACCTAAAATCAAGGCTGCAGTGCATGGTCACTGTTTTCATCCTCTGAACTCCTTCCCAAGACACCTCCAGCTCATGGTCGGTGCCTTTGCCAAACCATCGGTGTCTCATCACCATCAGTTGCACAGTGGGAAAAATAAGAATGGAACCATTGATTTGTTAAAGTCAAAGCTTACTGGAAAAATGGTGAGGATTTTTCCAGGATAAAATGACAAATGATGCATTTCATAAGCATTTTATTTTGATAAAAGATTTGGCAACAGCAAAATAGTCCAAGAATATATAGTTGTGAATAGTATTTAATTGTACAAAGTCAAAAGTAATTTTTTTTCCAGTAAAAAATGCCTCATGCATCTAAAATGGATCTCTGAATAAGATTCGTTTCATAATCAGGGTTAGTATCAGGGTGGTGCACTCCAGATAGGCCCACAGTAATTTCGCAGATCAGGATCTCTTGATTGCAGTGCAGAGGGAAGCACAAGGCCCATGGTGTGATGAATATGCCCATCCTTTAGAAACTGCCTGGGGAGAGAACAGAGCATTCTTCTGTCATGCCAACTAGAGTACATGGAAATGAGTGGTAAAATCAACTACCCACACCCCTGGCAACACTGCAGCTTCCCCCACCCAGCCCTGGCCCTGGAACTGTCCCTGGTCCCGCATGCCACAGAGGCAGCAGTCATACAGGGCTCAGTCCTGGAACATCGCTGTTGATTCATACTCTGCTTATGTTTCTTTAAAATGTCCAAGTGTGTGAGGCTTTCTTTTTTTCTGTAAAACTGCAGCCCAGACACTTTGTTGCTCACAATTTCAGGATTTTTCCATTTCCACTTTGACCTTTAATTAAGCCATTATGAATTTTACCTGATTGATTTCAGAACATTTTTTCAGCTAATCAAGACTATTCTGAATTTTAGCCTATCTTCAAAAGTGCTGACAGCTCTCCCTGGGTGCATTTTCTCATGTGTAATAAGAAAAAGGTTCCTACTCCTGCATTCAAATTACTAAAGTAGTAAAATACTTAATAAAGAAGTACCAAACAGAATAACAAAATTTTTGTAGACATTATTTGACCAGCTTTCCCACTTTTTGATTTTTGGATTCTACTACTGAGCTTTGTCATTGAAATTGGGAAGAAAAATTCAATGCACCAATGTAGTATTAAGAAGCAGGCATTCATTTATTGCAGCACTGGATGCATAGGTGATCACCCCACATAATGTGCATACCAACTATCCAAACTTTTTACTATTTACACATTTCAGCAAAAAAAGAAACTAGTGCTCATTGGTTACACTGATTAGTACTCTATTTAGTTAGTGATTTCTTGCTTCTTACACTAATTACTTTGCATAATTATCCTCAATTATCATATCCTCTCCCTTTCATGCATGCAGGAGGCCTAGCCAAAGTTCAAAAATGGCCTTCGTTATATTTGCATCTGATTACAGCTTGATTTTAGCCAGTTTGAACTTACAGTAATTTTATATAGACAATATTTCCACATTAAAGTAGGTCAGATAGGCCATTGCCCAAGTACATTCAGTCTGGATTTCCCTACTCATTTATTTTTTCAGCAAGTTGGCTACTTATTCTGATTATTTTCATGCGATTTGTAGGCAAATTCACAATCGTAGTCTCTTGCCTCTTCAGTAACCACCAGGACCTTGTGTTTACAAAAACAGTTCCCATTTTTGCTCATCAGGACAGTGATACCTCTCCTGTCTTTGAAAGCACTGGAAGACAAGCAGAGTGCAGAAGCTGACTAGGCCAATACCCTTGGTAGCCTCAGATACATCTCAGGAGGCTGTGTTGACCTGGATACATCTAATCACTAAGTTTGAACCTGTTGGCATTCCAGCCTGCTCCCTTCTCCCTTTCACTCCACAGGCTCTCTTCAGTGTTAATACTGCATAACTCATTTGGCATGTTTGGAAAACAGAATTTTCCTTTGTTAGTTAGCCAACCTTGCACGTTGCATGCCTCATTTGATTAGTGTTGCAAATGAGCATCCCTACATCCTGACATGGTAGTGCTGCACTGCAAGCTGGCACATTCCTGGGGTTTCCTGCACTGTCTGGAAGCCTCCCACACACAATGGGCTTCTTTGGACAGTGTTTGACACAAGATGTAGTTGCAAGAAATTACAGCAAGAAGTTTGTTTTTCTGATTTATTCTTCCATGTCAGAGAGTATCACAAACAGCACTTTTGTAAACATAACATTTATCAATTAGTGGATATTGAAAGCTCATATATTCAAAGAAACCACTGTCAACAACTGACAAAACATGATTTTCCCTAGTAATTTCTTTAAACATGCAGTCATTAATAAATGCACACACAAAACACACCCAGTTCACCATTCTGTACAATGTACTGCATTCTGTCCAGACCTCTGGAAAGTGATAAATTTCCTTATTCCTTTCCCTCTTGAACAAGCCTTGATATGGTTACAAATACTTTCTCCAATTATGCAGCCCATTTACATTACACTGCCAAGACATGTATTTTGTTTAAGTAATTCTATCCCTACCTGAACTCATTTTAAGAATTATTCTAATGGCATGTACAACAAGGTATGAATGGTGTTTTACCTATTAGTTCATTCCTTGCCTACCAAAAAAACCCCAACTCTGCCACAGCAGTAGCAGTAAGTTGTACAAGGTTGGCTGTAATGCTGTATGAACACTATCTTCCAAAACTGCTTTGTTTTTTTTGTCACATCCCTGTTAACTCTTCCTGCAAGCTGCAATTGCGTCTCCTCTGTGTACATTTCAAGGTTTCAGTTCTCTACTCAGGGATGTGCATTAAAGCATGTACTTGCAAAATCTAACTGCATAACATTTAAGCAAGCAGTTTATTTATTCAAGTAATTTTCATCTTATGCTATGCAAATCACACTCCTCTTTTTTAACAAACTTTTCTGAGAACTGCTCTACTCACGGGTTTGGCCAGAGGGGATTTTTTTAACATTCACCCAATCTAACCATGTGCAGAGATCAGATTCCTTTTCACTTGCACACATGTTCAATTAGGAGCCTATGTATATTATGAAATTTTAAACAGCAGGGTGTGGTAAGTACCAGATCTAAAAGCAAGAGATTAGCAAGCAGATCTTGCAAAGATGGAGAGTCAAACACAGGAATGTGGAAATAGTAAGCAGTTTAATAAACCACATCTGTGTTCAGACCAATACTTGTTATTAGCATTCGATTATATTTTAACTGTTACAGCTTCTCTAAAGTGGATTATTCAATGTGGGTTTATAATCCATCCAGCAGATTCCACTGTAACTGGTACAATCTTTGCTTTAGTCTGTCCTCATAAATGGAAATTCCTATTGAGTTCTAATGCTAAATATTCAATCCACATGATGAGTATTTCCATGCTACCCTTAAGTACACTTAATACACTTAAGTATCACAGAACAAACACACGTAAAACACGTAGTTTTGTTGTGCGTGCTAGTTATATAAAATGCTCTTGGCTCTCTAACACAAAACAGTAATTGTTCAGAGTCTTTGCTTTAAATAGTTTATGTAAGACAATAATTCTAACACTTGAAATACAGTATAATATTGCAAATACATAATATTTTCATATCCTCAGTCATATTAAATCAAGGTTGTTTCTATCTACTTACCAAGCCACTTGTCAATTGCAGTCTCGTATTTCTTTTGTTCCTTTAACCAGTCTTGATGCCACCTAAGGTTTGCAATAGTGCTAGAGTAATTCTGACCCAAACTTTGTTTCCAGCTGATAAACTGTTGTTTGTTATACTCCTGAACAGAAGAAGAAACCTTTGGATAGTTTACTATAGAGCGGAGTATTTTGTCCAAGGAATGCACAACTCCTGGGAATTCCGTGGCAACATTTTTTAGCTCATCTGGATCGGAAGTAAGGTCTGCAACAACCAAAAATCAGTTAAGAGACAATTTGTATTTAAATAAATTAGTAAGTCAGTCAGGACATGAAAGTCGTAACATACCAAACAACTGCGGCAGAACTGAATGGCCATCTGAGTACGCGATGTATTTCCATTTGCCACTTCGCAGCATATATGCAGAAGCATTCACGTTGCACCCATGGAACTCACTCAGCACCCATGAGGGCCGAGGTCCTCTGGGCAACACTTCTGTCTCAGCCTTTTCACGCAGCAGTGGTATAAGAGAATATCCACTGAGGTTCTGTGGGACAGGAATTCTTGCTATGTCTAAGGGAAGATATACACAATCAAAACGCGATTGCAGTTTTCATGATTAAAAAAGCCTAACACAATGCTACAGGTATCTGAATGTAAATTTTATTTTGGTAATAAAATGTGAATTCCTAATTATTCTTCTTGTGGAACACAGGAACCCCAAAACAAACAATTCAAAAAACCTTAAGGAACTTTTCAAGGCAAGTTGCCCACCATCTTGATCAAATGCAGTACCATGTACATCTAACTCAGTCTCCAACAGAAGTTTGCTAAAAGCAATCACAATAGTCTCTTTCCGTGGATGGTGCTTTTTTTATTTATTAATCATGGTTTTAAACATTTCCCTTCTGCTCTGACTACATTTGGCAGGAGAAAAAGAATGTGATACCATTAAAAGACCCTAAAAAGCTCCACATCCCACATGGTGTAACCATTCATTTCTTTGATAATAATGGTGCTAAGCTGCTATCTAGCATTTTTCATTGGTGAGTAACAAAATGCTTTACAAAAGGTGGCCATTATGGTTATCACCTAAAACTGGTAGGGAAATTGAGGAGCAGGACCACTTGCTTCTCTGCAGGACTGGAGATAAAGATGGCATCAGAGGTGGCATCAACACAGTGCATGTCTGGAAAACACTGTATGACTCCACAGTCTACTAGATGGCTCCTAGAAGATGCTGATCCATAAGCTCCTCAGCGTCAACTTACAAGTGTCTCTAGCTCCTGAAGATAAGGTCAATATTAAAAGGCTGAAGGGGTCTTTCCTAGATATTCTGAAAAACATAGCTAAGAATCCCAAGTATGTTACCTAAACTTCAGCACATCCTAAAAAAATGAGTCTGACAGTACTGCTATTTTTAATCACCCCACTGAGCATTGCCCATAGTCATTCAAAATTCAAAACCTTCCATTTCACAGAGCACCGTGGTAGCATTTAATTGCTGAGTGGCAAAGCTCTGTGCATATAAATTGCTCATATGTGACTTTTTCCCTCAGCAGCATGTATCTTCCTTGATGCCCTCTGTCTCTACAGCATTTATACTGGTCATTAACCTGCAGTTCTTCCTCCAGTAAATAAACCAGCCAGCACCTGATTAAGCAGGAAGACCTGTAACATTTAAAACCCAGCAGCTTCAGTGTGTGTGCTAAAATCTTAAACAAATACATACTGCATTCCAACAAATTAAAAAGGGATATAGGCATTCCTCTTCTGTCATCCTAAACCAGTAATGCTATTACTTGCAGTAACTGCATTCTGCATGTACAAAGAATACTCCAGGCACCTTCTCCTGCTTTTCCAACAGAGAGCCCAAAGTACTTCCATAAAGACCAACAAAGCCAGTGCTGCCTGGAGGAAAGGTCATGCTACACACTGTTAAAAAATGCAAGAGCTGTTGCACTTCTGGCTGAATTATCCTTATCACTCACATTCTGCTGAAATCCAAATATCTGCACCTCTTCCAAAATCAGTAAAGGAGGAAGACTTGAGCAAAGCATTTGGATAGCACCTTAAGATAGACTATTTCCCTGAGGCAGCACAAAGGGATTACATGTATCACCAAAGAAGGACTTGAAATCTGTTTCCTCCTGTCAGCAAGAGCATGCAAACTGAGGACATAATAGATAGGAGACAGAGATGGTTCTTTGTGTTTTCACATTCATCGTGACCATACATGCCTTTTTGACATTCAGATTACAGAAAAGGAGAACTGCCAGAAGAGAAGAAAAGGACTATACACACAAACTTTTGGGCAAAAGCAATGGGACGAAAAGACAGAAGGATGTTAAAACACCTGACTAATTACATCATCTGGGGAAAAGGGACAGCGAAGAAAAAACCAGAGATTTTAAACTCTTACATATGATAGCATAATTTATATAAAATCCGTATCTAATACAGATTATATATATATATAAAGATTTTATATCAAAATATGGAAGAGAAAGCCACTCAGATTTTATATCCTATTTTCAACTGGATAACTGGTTCAAACATTTTGAGGCAATACAGACAGATAAATAACTTTTGTTCCTTTTTTTTAGAAAATCCACTTAAAACAATACAGAAGAGATTTTTCACAAACATTTACTGCTGGAAGTATATCTTTACTTATTGCCCCATGTTCTCATAGCCAATTGCAGTGTACATGTGACACCTCTTATAGAGCAAGCTTTGCAGACTGGCTTGAAAATAACATTTTTATGTTTGGCAGCCTGAAAGATCACACAAAAAGCGTCGAACAGCAACTTCACCTGATGTTTACTTCCAATGAGAATCATCTCTTGCATGATTTATCACAGACAACTGTTCAAAAATTCATTTTTAAAAGTGATTTCCGTCTAAGTAATTTAATGTCAGTTCTTTTTATTTGATTCTCTGCCCCATACTAAGTATTTTCATAGCTAATAAGGTAAGAATGGATATCAAGTATCATATCTTACTATGCTCACCCAGATCAATTGTACATTCCCTATACAAAGCATTTATCACATTACTTTCACATGAGCCTTCATAAAAGACATTCCTTCAATAAGCTAATGAACCTGCCACATTTTCAGGTTTACTCTGGACCCAGTTACACTGTAATTTCTATAGTAAACTTTTGGGTATGAAAGTAGAAAGGATTACTCACATCTAAAATGCATCTGTATGGTTTTCATCACATTTTTTTAGTAACAAATAATCCTATATATAATCAGTCAGTGTCATTCCCCTGATGACAGCAATAGTAATAAGGAACATCAGTGGGTCCTTTATTTAATTTTTTCATCCATTTTTTACTTTTTGTATTAAGTCCATATGTATGCTCCACAGATAGATTAGCTTCTGTTGTGTTACTGTATTGTCTCAATAAGTAGAGAAATAATTCTGACTATAATAGAAATGCATAATAATAATGGTAACTAGGAAAAAAACTTTCACTTGAAATTACTTAACTCACCAAGCATAGTGGGATATATATCCACAAGAGATACTACATTTGGTATTTGCTGCTGTTCATTTACACCTGGCCCCATCGCTAAAAGAGGAACATGGGAACTTCCTTCATACATGCTCATTTTATAGAACTGACGGTGTTCCATCGCAAGTTCTCCATGATCTGCAGTGAATATAATGATTGTTCTTCTAAGAAGCCCAGTATCTCCCAGAGCTGAAATAATCTCACCTGCCAACAAAAAGATAATAAAAAGGTTATATTCAAAATACTTCTTCCAACTTTGGTACCTGAAAAGCAGCATGCAAACCTCAAGGAAACCTCCTAGTCAGAGGCTTGGAAACTCCTCTCTTCTTGCATGTTCAATGGTGCAATGAAGACACAACGTACACTCCCCTCTTTCTGATGTACATTTGTGCAACAAAGACAGGGCCAAGATCAATGAAGTTGGTGATTAACCAAAGCACTTATGCACCCTAAATATTAAAACACTAAGATGATTCTTGCTTGAACAGACTAGTTAAAACACATTACAAAATCAAACCCCAGTGCAGTTACTCTGAAATCCCTTCATTCCCTAAAACTGTCAGGCTTACACTGATCTCTTTTCATTCACAGAACGAGGAAGAGTAATTCTGTGTCTTTTAATTTACTTTATCAATCTAACATTGCTAAGATTAGTTTATTTATTCATGAATTTCATGTTAGTAAGCAATCAAATTGTTGTTCTTGTCACTTTTCAAATGAAGAAATAAAATACTGTAAGTTAAGACCACTTTGCATGATAATTTTATGTATGTAGATATTACTGCAAACTAAGAATTCTGAATGTCCAATTAATTATTTTTGCTTAACTTTCAGTAATATTCAAGGGGAAACTCCAAATGTAACCTTATTGTTTAGCCTATGTGTAACAGTTGTTATCCAGTCTACATATTTGAAATCAATCTTTAAGGAAAACTACTTAGGCCCTAAAACTTATTTTTCCTTCCAGCTCTGCTTTGCCAGTCTGTTCCCTTCACAAAAGTATTTCCATTATTTCAGTTAGTCGTTAATCAAAAAGCAATTAGTTCCTCTTGTGCATGGGTCATGCAATTTTATGTTGCAGTTACTGGTTTTCTACAGTGCAACATCCACATGACTTACTCCCACATCTGAATGGCAGTGTTTTGTTTTCCATTCTTTTCCCCAAAATCAGCCCTATCAGCTTGTCTTAAAAAAATCAGAACTAGAAAACCCACTGTATAGTGAAACATTACCTACCCAACATGGCATCTGTCTCTGCACACATTGCATAATAAAATGCTCTAATATTTCTCACTTCTTCCGTTGTAAACTCTCCTGTGCAGTTCTTGGTGTATGATGAGTAATAGTCTACTGGATGCATCTCTGAAAGAGAAGACCACTTGGGTATTTTAATAGCTTCAAAATTTACCTAAAAATAAGAGGAAATTAACATTACTTTAGCAACTGAATTAAATATTTTTTTAACCACAGATTTAATTAAAAACTTATTAGCATAAATTCACAGTTCTCAATTTGTGGTCCAAGAAACTCCAGCTGCTTATCTGTTACATGGTGCTGCTATTTTCACCTACTTCCATGGGTATCAAATAATTTTAAAATACAGCTGTAAGAAACCACTAGAAACTAAGGCTAGGCGTCAGAAATATGTACTTTACCAGCTGCTGTATTTATTTTAAAAGTGATAGCACAGAACAATCTTCTAGAATTGTACTCTAGAGTAAGTACAGAACAACACGGAAATTCATTTAGTCTGGAAAGTACCCAGGGCAGTGATGACAAGTCTTGACATCTTGATAAGAAGAACTGACTATGCTCGTCCAATTTTCTAATGCTCTCCTATTTGTTTCTACAGATGTCAATCCGTTTATTACACAGCGTGAAACTAAAAAGCCAATCAATTTCAAGTAGTGACAGATTTGTATATTCAAGCACACTCACAGATATTGTGTGCTGCGGTAGTAGCTTCAGAGCCTAAAAGTTTGACTAGGCTAAAGCCTAGGCTGTCATACTTGTAAGCGTTCCCTTAAATAAGTGCTGCATTTAACAGTTAATTAGTTCTACATTGTAGACTTTAAGCACAAATTACTACAAAGCAGATATGTAACCTCGGTATGGAAAACTTACAATTTATTAAATACTAAACCCACACCTGTTGCTCTCATTTACCTCAGAATATGTCTGACAAACAGACCTGAGGACTCGACTATATGGCACACCAACTCCCGGGTCTGTGGAGCAGTCCCAGGGCTGCAGGCACAGCTCCACTCCTGGGCTGGCCTCTAACAAGGGCAGCACTGGTTCCTGATGAAATAACTGAGATACTTACTGTCCAAGGGGCTCTGTTCAGCACAAAAGCAATCAGACCAAAGTTGTCCCTAGAAGCATCACATCCCTGTTTATTGGTGTGGCAACTTAAGTATCAGTCCCTGATAAACCCAATTTGGTTTTGTCCCAAGGTGTGGGACAAAGAAAGAGCTGTCTGGGGAGCGCAATGTCTGTCTCTCAAGCACATGGTGTGTCTTTGACCATCGGTGATGTTACTAGCCACGTGTTCCAATACCCGCAACATTCCACCTCCCACAACAGTCAATATTCTCTCCTAATATCTAGCAGATGCATTAAGTCATATAATTATAGAATCATTAAGGTTGGAAAAGCCTAAGATCATTGAGACCAAGCATTAACCCAGTACTGCCAAGGATCCCACTAAATCATGTCTCTAAGTGCCACATATACACTTCGTTCAAATCTCTGCAGTGATAGTGAATCCACCATTGGCCTGGGCAGCCTGTTCCAGTGCTAGACAAGTATTCTGGTGAAGAAATTTTTGCTAATATCCAGTCTAAATTGCCCCTGGTGCAACTTGAGGCCATTTTCTCTCATCCTATCACTTGCTACTTGGAGGAAGAGACCGAGAGCTAAATAGGCTCATACGACTGCAGGAGTTCAAGTCCCACAGTGCTAAAGTCTGGATTTGTAATAGTCAAACAAGACCACCAAAATCTAAGTTTCCTTTGTCTCTATACAAAACAGGCTCCTAGAAGAAATCACAGAAGATAAATTAGTAGCAGACAACTAGTTCAGTCATCTTCCTATTGCTCAAGGTCCTTGGCTACATAAAGTTGTATTTTAGAATTCTCAAATGATATTTATTAGCTGCTTAAGATATAATGGGAGCAAAAAGTGTCCTTCTCTATCCATGATACTTTTCTACAGCATGACAATGTAGTTTTAAGGATTCACAAGTCATGACACCTTTGCCTGTCTATTGTAACTCATAGCTAGGAAAGAAGCCACACACCCTGAAAAAGTGACAGCTTGTATAAAATACAGGGGATCATCTGTGTAACAACACAGGGTCTCACAAACGTATCATGATGATACTCCATTCTCTATCAGAGCCCCAGTAAACAGGGCATTTAACTCAGCTCTTCATCTTTGCAATCCAACTGCTTCATAAGCTCGTCTCTGTCATTTTCAAAAACTTTTTTCCACGACCAAAACAAGGATACAGCCCAGAGAACCAGACAATAGTCAATAAATGGTAATATGTCATTCACACAACTCAGTATGTATACACAGTGGTGGAAAGGACCTCAGCAAATGATGGAGTTTAAGTAATCTAACTGGATTAAGGATGACAAATATTTGCCAGAGATGTTATAACTCTGCCTGTGACTTGGAAAAAGGTACCACCACTTCCCAAGACACATCTAACTTTGCAATTAGCATCTAGCAAGTTTTCCTTAATAACTAAGCTAGATCCCACTTTCTGTAAATGAAGGCTTGTTAGCCCATGCTCTTCCTCTCCCCACAAACTTCTCACCATTCCCAGAAGAACCAACAACCCTCACTATTACAAAGAAACCCACATCTCTCAACTTTTATTTGTATATCCTTTTTTTCCTAAGTATTTGTATTTTTGGTGCACCTAGATAAAGAGATTTGGCAGTTTGCCAGTAGAAAAACCCACAAGTTCTATAAATTGCATATGGAGGGTTTTTTTTTGAAATATAAAGTATTTTCAAGCCTAACCTAGTTCTTCAGATGCAAAGACTATTTCATTGTCTTTCTGCAATTAAGGCTGTTCTAACACATTTTTATTTTATGGCAAATGACAGCAACCAGAGACCATACAAGACAGAGAATAAAATATTTCTTTGGAATGGAGTGCTATTTGTAGCTTTCTACATAGGGACATAATTGGACTTTTTTTTTTTGTGCTCTAGAACCATTGAAAACCTACAGCAGCACAGAAGAAGTTAGCAGAAAAGAGAGACTTCTGTTGTGTCTTACTGCTTCATGTTCTATGTTCATACTGCCAGACAAGTCAATCTTTCATGGTAAAACTCAGACAAAATGACTACATATAGAAACACTATAACAAGCACAATATAGAATGCACTAAGAATGCACCTACCATCACTGAAATAAACTTACAGACAAGAATAGCTACAATTTCTTTCTTTTTAATGTGCTTCTAGTCACTGAACTTCAAACTTAATGATTTGGTGACTACTACTGACAAACCCTTTCCTATACCAGAAATTTCTTACTTATATTTGCTTAAACAGAAATCTTAACATTTAATTCAAGTACTTTCTCACTGGATCTGACTTGAAAAATCAGGGAAAAAAATTACTGTTCGTAGTAAGTAAAATTGTTAATATGTTTATATTTAAATTTCATCTTCACATACCTTTTCTAGCCAATAGGGTGATGTTAAAAATGTAGAGGATCCAAAATTTTCTCCTGCATAGGGTGATGGATATGGGTGTGGCAAATTTAGTCCCAAGTAAAGGACAAATGGTTGAGTAAGGTTAACAGCTTCTTCCTTTATCCATTTTACTGCTTTATCAGTATTCCACCAATCTGTTTCCATCACTCTAACCTGCTTCCTATCACCAGTAAGTTTTACCATGGGTCTCCCTTCTTGTCGGAGTAGGAAGTCAACATCCCTCGTCCAAGCTTCCACACGGTTACTGAAAATACATACACAAGATACATACTCAGCAGAAAATGTTTTCTTCACTTTTCCTCCAAGAAAAAAGCATTATGAATTCCTGAAGAACTTCCCCTATACTTTCAGCTGTAACCTATTTGCAATTCCTACATAAAGGGGAATTGTTACTCAATTAAGCAGTAACTATTGTGCACCTCTGCTCCCTAATCCCATATTTACCTAATAATAAAATTGTCAATTTTTCTGCTGTATCAGTTATGTGACATCAATCGATCCTGCTCTGGCCTAACCTTTTGCAAATGGTGCATTGCTAGCACAAATCTCAGTAACTATGGAAGTTTATGTATGTTAAAAATATAAATACACAATGAAAATGTAGCCATTTGAATGTGACTTGCTCGTAAGATAATTATTCATAGCTGTGAATGAATGAGATTTGGGGAAGATAGTTTTTAGGAAATGGTTACTAACAGAGAGAAAGAGCTGTATCTTCAGCCTCTGGACTGTGGAGTTATGCCCAGCCTCTGCTTCCTGTCAAAAAGACTCCATGTGTGCTTTTGGGTGTTGGTTATTTCACTTAATATAGATGTAGTTACTGTCATGTTATCACTTTCACCTGGGTCAGTAGTGATGGTAGTTCATTAAGCTTCATCTTCAATGTTGCATTGTTATACCCTTTATTTACAGCTTTTCTATTATATTTGAACTGCCTATGAATTTAGCCTCTTGGACCAAGACCAATGATTACACTGCAATTTCTTTTTATGAGACCTAAACCCTATCACGAATGTAGATAAATGTATACATGGCAGAATGAGAGAAATAAAAGATTGTAATTCCACTTATACTGGTGTTGCTAAAGTTTTGCAAACCAAAGAATTGGTTTTATTTTTTTCTCATCTGTGAAGAATTGTGACAAAGATATTTAGAATGATACCACAAGACCCATGCAAATATGACACTACCAGACAAAACGAGAGCAAGGTTAAAGCAATGTGTGCATCAATGGCCAGGAACATGAATGACATCAGCAAAACAGGTCAGCACTGAAGAAGGGGATTTCAGTGTTAAGATCACTGTACAGATGATGAGCCAGCAGCATCCTCATAGCAGGATGGCAACCAGTTCCTTGTGCACTCTGTATGCCATTCCTCTTCCTGTTATTCCAGCAGAATAACAGAATAAAATAAGACAGCTATTATAAGTAAACAAAAAGGATATTTTCCTGTAGACTGAAGCCAGCAATATTTCCTGTCAAAGCATCACACCATAGCAACTTTTCACCACTAAAAAGTGTAAAATACACATGCAAAATTCCATTTCATCATTACCAATCAACAAAGAAATAGGAGCGACCTTATCAGGTGACATCAGTTACCCTACGTCATGCCAAGAATCCTGTTCAGACTACTTCAACATGAATAAATATTCCTATGTTTGTGGGTACGAGATTGTGAGTTGGTACTTTACCAACACAGAAAATTAAGCAATGTAAAATCGACATTCCTATTCTATAGTCTCACATTAGGGTTTTATTTGCATTAATTCCTACACAATAAAATTTATGTGAGGACTAAGAACTATCTATTTGTTCAGCTTTGCATTCCTCATGTGAAGGTCTTTGTACTGGAGTCAGAATCCACCTATGATCTTCAGTTCAGGACAATGAAAGTAAAACTTTTCAAATCCACATATTTATACACAATCAACCTTTTTTATTTCAGTGCCAACTTGTGTTGCAGTTATCATATGAACAGCCCAGAACTTCTGGAATTACTTAGAGCTGCTCTTCTTTAAAACTGAAGTCACTTCATAGATTAGAGATAAACAGATTTCAATGTTATAAAACATTTCTTTTATCTCAGTGAAGGGCAGGGTGAGTGCTGACTAGTACTATTTAGACAACACAGAATTTTCTCTGCACAGAAGTGATTCAGAAGAAAAGTATAAGGGTCTGTGTAACACTGCAATTAATTTTCATTTGTCAGGATAATTATCCTTTACTGAAAATCTATTCCAGAAATGCTGAAGCATGATGCACCCACAGAATAATTCATTCATGAAGTTCATGAAGAACTTCAGCCTGTGGGAAGGAGTCACACTGGAGAAGTTTACGGAGGACTGTCTCCTGTGGGAGGGACCCCACACAGGAGCAGAAGAATGTGAGGAGTCCTCCTCCTGAGGATGAAGAAGCAGCAGGGATGTGTGATGAACTGACTACAGTCCCCATTCCCCATCCCACTGTGTCACTGGGAGGATGAGGTAGAAAACTTGGGAGTGAAGTTGAGCTTGGGTAGAAGGGAAGGGCAGGGAGAAGGTGTTTCAAGACTTGATTTTACTTCCCATGGCCTTACTCTGACTTCTAATTGGCAATAAATTAAATTAATTTTCCAGAGTTAAGGCTGTTTTGCCTGTGTGCCTGGGCGATGTCTCTCTGTCCTTATTTAGACCACTGAGTCTTTCATTACATTTTTTCTCCCCTGCCCAGCTGAGGGGGGGGACTGAGCAGCTTTGGTGGGTACCTGGTGTCCATCTAGGGTCAACCCACCAAAACAGCGCAAGTCTATGAACACATATGGCCTTCAAAAAAACCCCACAAATCCTCTCCCACGCCAGGGCAGGGGGTTGGGACTAGATGATCTCTAAGGTCCACTCCAATCCCTAAAATTCTATGATTCTATGATTTAATATTCCATTTTTGTAACTATGTTTGTTTGTTCTGCTTTTCCTACGCTGCTAGTATAACCATAAATCCAGGAAGGTTCAAGGCAAGGCAAAACCAGTTTATGAATTTCACTTTGTGAGCAATACCAGTGATAAAAAATAAGCATTTATGTTGGGCAAAACCACTTCTGAAATTCACTTTCCAACTACAGGTAAAAGGTGAAGTGCAGCTGCATGGGACATGCTTGCCTCTGCACAAAGTTGCAGAACAGATCCCTCCTAGGTACCTAACACAATTTCTTTTAGATTAAAGCTACTACCATTTCAGGTGGAGACAGAACCACGTGACAGACCATTACATGTTTTGTCCACTGCTGACCCTTTCACAGAAGAAGAATCTATCTGATTACCTTACTGAATGATGTCCAGAAGTATAGTCCAATTTCCCAAACTTCTGTGTGTGGTAGCCATGTTTCTGCATGAGATCCATCCACGTTACATAACCTGGATCTAGACCTTTGAAGTTATTCCAAGATTCTGTTATATGAGTGAAAAGGCCACTCCACATAGCTGAGGGAAAAAAAATTATTTTTTGACAAGCAATTTGTATTCCCTACCAATATACTTGAGAAGGGGTTAGTGAATTATTACAGATGTTAAAAATCCACATTACAATCCAACAGAGAACGGAATACAAAATATTACTCTTCCAAATCTTACTATCAGAATCAACAGGAAAACCAAAATTTACTCAAATAATCCCCAGAATTGCAGAAGAAGGTCCCATCCTACCAGGTGCTATGCAATCATTAAATGAAGAGTTTTGTAGATCAGAAAATATTTTTATTCATTTCTGAAAGAAAATGGCATGGTAGTACAGATCCTGATGAAACAGCCCTGTCCTTACATGTATTCCAGAGTATTATCTCCCTTACTACAGTGAGATTTCAATGTGAATTTAAAGTTAAGTATATTTGTGGAGGGAATTAGAACATATTATTTCACATATTCATAAATACTCTATGCCTTCAATTTTATCCTTTTTAGGTAACCTACTTCACTACCAGCTGCAGAAACAAAGGGAGAATATTAAAGAAGATATTTGCAGCTTATTGGGAATCATTTACTCTTTCAAATGCTAATTTAGAGTTAAAGGTAATTCTAAAATGGAGGGTCTTTGCAACAACTGAATCTAGTATATACACACTAGAACAAACTAGTAATATTTTAAGATGTAACCTTTGATTCAGAAATACAGCTTCCTTCTGTCTTCCCACCAAGTTCTACAAGTGTGAAATTGAATACAGAACAATTGTAGTAAGTAAAGAAAAATACTGAAGTGTTAAATTAAAGCTTCTGAAAGATACATTATATATCCAAGAGTCATTGGAAGACAATAATAATAGCCATCAATTTATCCAGCTGTTATTATTTACTACTTTTTGCTGAGAACAGATTTATTAACTTTTTATTGGGAAGGGAGAGTAGTTCTGAGAGCAATTTCGGCACTACAGCAGACAAATCAATGATTTCTTACAAATCCTGAAGATTTTTCAAAAATCTGAAGCTTCAGTTGAGTTCAAAAAATATTTGAGAGCTCACACTTTGCTGAAAAAAGGGGAACAAAAATGAAAAGGAGGAAGTGTAAGAAACAGAAAAGAGAAAGAAATGAAACATATAAAGATCCAGAACCTAAAAAAAAAAAAAAAGATCTTATTGAAAAACAAAACAAATCCCCCCCAATCAAACACTTTGAAATTTCCTATCATTACCACATATTTAAATTGACATGTGCAAGCTCTTGCCTGAGATTTTGCTTGGTCTTACCTGCACGAGAAGGACAACAAATAGGAGAATTGGTATAGGCATTGAGAAAGGTAGTGCCATATCTTTTCATAAAATTTATGGAAGGTAAATCCACTGTCTGATTTCCTGGAAAAAATGTCAAGCGTCCATCCTAAAATGAGGCAGAGAAAAACAGCGTATCAACACCATTAACACAAACTACTGGCTGCATTATTTCATAGATTTACTGCCTTGAACTTTTGTTGCTCAAATGGCGCCAGTTCTACTCAGGTGTGGAAAATAGTATTGAGAAGTTTTAACCAGATTGATATAAAATAGATTACTTATGAAAAAGTGCAATGCAAAAGACAACTGTGCTTCTTCATAGTAAAATTACATCCTTTCACTACTATATTCTAAGCTCTGGTTCTTCAGGAGTAGGGTCCTACCATGACACGTTCAATAGGAACAGGTATGGTGAAAGGTGACAAGGAGTCAGGCTGAATCCTGATGCAGATGCGTGCACTAGTACATATTTCTGTGAAAACACAACTGATCCCTCATCCTTTTTAAAGGTTTATCCACACCACATCTCTGTGAACTTATTTTAAACTCTGGACTGGAAAAATAATCAGAAAGGAAGGCTATTCACCCACTGAAATGCCACCCGCATTGGTTCCCTTTTGATACTTTCATAATGATAATTTCATTTTTACCTATCTGTTTAGACAGAGTTTTTAATCAGTAACTTTAAAAAGATGCAAGATTTTGAATAAGTACATTTACAGTAGAAAATCATGATGACATGAAACCAGGTTTCATGCAGACTGCCCTATTTCAGGTCACTTTCCTGCCACTTTTATTCCTTTCCATGGTTCAGTAAGATGTTCTGAGACAGCTCCAGCCTGACTCGTTAGCTCTTTGGTGAACAAACTGTTGTCAGCAAACCTGCACAGTTTTAACTGCAGAACAAAGCAATTCCCTCCATTTGTTTGGCAGAAATACTCTTGGACAGCACAGCATTGTAGAGAGAGTCACTTCATTTGGCACCAGTGGAGCTATCCATGTCATCCCAGCCTCTGGAATCAGCACTGAGTGATCACCTAATTTTGTACACTATAAATAGCAACTAGAACAGGCACTCAGTAGAACAAACTGGAAATAAAGCTGTAATTTGTAATAGGAACTTGAGGGGAACTCTAGGTTTGAAGTGCTCTTTAGAAAGTACACAACTGATGCATCATCCTGTCAACAACACATTAATAAGTTAATCCAACAAACATATCATTTGAACAGCTGCAGACAAGTTTGTTATTTTGATACTGTATCATGGAAATAATTCCATATACTTTGTATTATTACCAAGTATACTGTGAATCAATATTGTTTCTATAGGTGATATGGCTATTCAGTAGCAGTAAGCTTCTTGAACAGGCTGAGACGGTGACAGCTCAACAGCTATTTCTGGAAATTTGCCCTCTAAGAACTGTGTAGGATTTGCACATTTTGAAGTACCTGAGGAAAAAACATTATTTTAACACAAGCAAGCACATTTCATCCAAGAACTTGAACTGCATTGCACTCAAAGCCTGTCATCACTCAGTTAACCTCAAGCAGTAATTCAGGAGCTGAATTGCCTACTAGCACATTCCACCAGGAAGCCCTGCGAGAAGCACAATGCCTGATGTGACAGCAGAAAACCGCTGTTCAAGCAAGAGGGCATTGTTCTGGGGGCCAAATAAATCCAGCATTACTGAGAAGAAAATTTTTGTCACACTTGACAAAATAGGTGTGAGCCTTTTACAGGCAGCATGAACCACAACAAAGGCAGGCACATTTTCTCAGGAAACCTAGGCCTTTTAACAGTCTGCAAGACTTAAGCTCTCTTTTCCCAAAAAACTGTTAGTTTCAACAGTGCCCAACCCTTCCTATTATTCACTAGTGATGTAATCAAAACAGTTAATCTATATCTGCTTTCAAATCCATCTCATAAAGAAAGCTCACACGACACAACATTTCTTTTAACATATTCTTCTTTGTATGCACTATGCAGGTATGACACTTTTCAAAAACAACACCTTATTCTTAATTGTTCATGTAAGAATTTCACAAACATGTGAGGTTTGACATTTCATTTTTGTAAGGGTTACCTCATGAGTCCCTGTAATACAGTCATGAGAATCTTCCTGTTTCCAGGCAGCACAGAGAAGTTTTATTAAGATTTGTCTGCAGCTCTGCCACCGTGTGGACACAAAACCAACATTGGCCAATCCCCAGGACCATAAATATTGCAAATTTGTCTACTGGCAAGTAACAGTTTTATTAAAAGATGAAAATTTGGAGGAAAAAGGATACGCACTACTATGGACTATAAACTCAGAATAAAATAAATGAAGAATAGAGTAAAAGGAAGTCAATAAGGAGCTATTGTGTTAGTAAATAAGGAGTTATTTATCTTTGAATTCACAGCAAATGTGTTATAATACAGAGTTTGAAAAAAAGATTATACACATTTACCTAATATTTAGGAAGAACGGATGCCAAGAAGGATAGGCAGCAGGTGAGAAGCCAAGTGCTCCTACCAGTACAGTCAGGGATGGAATTCTGAGAAGGCTGGGAATCAAGATTTCTCAACAGTGAATGAGAAGTGATGAGATGTGAAAGCCCACTGAAGTAATCCCATGAATCTTACATTTGATTCCACAGCAAGGATGAGGCAGAGAAACAAAGGCTTTCCCTTTTCTCAGAGTTAAACCTTCATCAAAGCATTTCCAGTATGTTGGGTGACCATCTGGAAACATGGTTATAAAAATGTGAAAAGTGCACTGTCTTTAGGTGTGTGCAAGGAAACATACACGGTATTTGTGAGTGAAAAAAGGTCTTTTCTGTGTGTCTGGGGGTTAAACCAAATATATCAATAAATCACTGTAATGAAGCCACTATGAATTTATATAAACATATCTCCTGGTTCCTTTATCACTTTAGCTGTGGATATACATCTGACAAGTTTATTATGTTGTTGTACCTGCTAAAAGCCTGAGTAAATCAATATGTGATGCTCAACAGGTTAAGTCACACATCTCATCTGTGCTTATAGATGTTCTCTAGGATTTACAGTGGCATGGTAAGATGGTGTAGTGACTTCCTCTTCCTTATAGCTTTCCAAGTCAACAGAAGAGCACGTACTCTACACACCAGCTCTGCAGCAGCAGCAGCTGCCCTGCCCTGCAGTCCTGTTGACGTCCCCTCCGGCCGAATTTGTGGCTACAAGCCGCAGGTCCCACACTAGACCGTGGCAACCACTTGTGCAGGGGTTTCTGACTACTGCAGTGCATCTGATGCAAGCATCGAGCACAGCTCTTGCAGAGAAACGAGTTTGA